TTTCCATGGTAATTAGCAGCTCGCAAAGTTTCGCACGGTGTATATTAACGTCGTCCTGCGTCACTAAATTAAGCGAATTTTATCATATTTTACACGGGCTTTACGGCAACGAAGATCCACGAATGTATCGTAAAAAATGACAGTCAAACAGCGAAACGTCGCATACGCGTCGATATCCGAGCAGCAATGGCGGAAATAATTATCACTCTTGAGTCACGCTCACTAGACATACGCCCATACAATTTCCGACAATTACTTTGTCTCACGTAACCAACCTTACTGTCTTGCAATCAATGGCTGAACAAATATAGATGTCACGCGATGAAAAACAATTTTTTCCCGCGCGTTTAAGAAAAAAATATGTATAATCACACAGCAGCGAGTTTTACGTCGGTCACGTATTTTGTTGAATGTATTTATCGTGACAGGAATAATGAATCGCAAAATGTTCCTTTCAGAGCATAGTTACTTTCCCTGAGTCTCATTCAAGTCAGAATAATATAACTAAAAGATAGAAAAAACAGTCAAGTACCTTTTCAAGCGTCTCGAAATTTATTAACATTCTCCATTTATTAATAGTTTCTATTGTAAATAAACTTAAGTAACATGTTATTAATTAAAATAAAGTGTATGCATTATTTCGGATAATAAAAGCAATTTTTATTGATAAAATGATTTAAATCAAACACATGGATACACGAGGTAAAGTTAGCCACTATTTAAGGGTCGACAGAGCTGTGGAGACCTCTCACGGAGGCCTTGGAACTACTAAGAAAGATACATACAGTACTAGCATTAATTATCATATCACTCAATAAATTTAAGTGCTCACACAGCACTTTAAGATAGTACGACTGTTAACTAAGACTGCAAATGACTCTCACTCACGCTTTAATTTATTTGATATTATTCTGCGATTTTTCAGACAAATTCTATTGAGAATTCAGTCATCTAATGCAGTTGTATCGCGCTCTTCCTTACTTTACTCTTTATTCTCTCTAAATTTCCTGCGTATCCATTTCTCCATGTTTTCTTAGGAATTTTGCTATCGTTGATTGGCCGAACTTATCTCTGACTGCTATTTCGCGTGTAAAAAATCTTTTTTTAGATAAAATTTTAAATAAAACAATGATAATTCTTTGTTTTCGGATTCAATTTTTATCTCATTCTCGGTTTCTGTATGAATACTAATTTTAAAAAATACGGATACCACAACAAAACTATTCCACTTACATTGAGTACTTAAGGTACTTTATATTCCTACGAATGAATTCTTTTGAAGATGATACAATAATTAATACTAGTATTGTATTTTATATGTAGCCTTTTTACTTTTGAGTTGCTAACTAACTTGACTTGATCAAGATGGTCACGTTTTATCACAGAAGGAAATATACGATTTATTGGTACGATAGGATCATTGCCGGTGCAAAAACCTAGAAGAAAGTTATCTCAATTATGTTTCTCACAATCAAATACAATAATTAGATATCTGAGAAGTTGTAATTTCAAAATGCTGAAAAATATGTCTCATCTATCTATCTCATCTATATGTCAATCTTTCTTATTTCTTGAATGATACGAGAGTTCCATCAGCATGAAGATAACTTCTAACCTTCACTTTATTGAACACAAAGCAGTTAGAATAACAGTTTCTGTTAGGATTCAGTTTTTCGGCTGGCGTAACACTCTGGCAATTAGCAACAAGCTTCATGCGAATACCACAAATATAATTACATTCTCTCATTAAATCGTAAGTGTCTGGTAAAATTAATAACTGTCTGGTAAAATTAACAACTAACAATATCTTTATTAACGATTGTTTCCTGATACTTGCTTATGGTGTAGAATAGATAGGAAAATACGACAACTTTTAAAGTGTAGACTTTTAAAGTCTTCCACTGGTCTACTGCTGCTGCTGTGATTAAAACCGCTTTAAACACCGCGCATGCAGAATAATTATACCGCTGTCATTCTTCAGTACGGTTTGCGAATGCAAATCTCGCGCTAAAGCGAGAAAACAGAAGCCGCACGCGCGCTTTAATGCAAGCCGCGGGACTAACGCAAGTTGCGCACCGAGCTCGAAAGAAGCCAGTGGTGTTGCCGGCGATTACGATGACACGAAGCGGCGCCATTAGAGTCACGAAGACGGGCAGGTAAAGGGCTTACAGCAACGAGCACAACTCGAGACGAAAATGACCCAATCCGACGGTAACTTACTCGGTAAATTACAGTAAACTACCCAGTAATTTTAGAAAGCGGGAAAAATAGTAATTTAGGAAGAACTTACAAAAATAGAAAAATTTTGATGAAAAGATGGAAAGCAGCATTTAGCCTTTCAAATTAGCAAAACATTTTATTTAACTCATGTTTTCCATAAAATATTTTGATTTATATTGATATACAATGTATTAATATACTATATATAGCATATAATAAATCAGAAATTAGAAACACATGGTATAACTTGAGAAATTTAATAAAAGTTTTTTTAATAGGATTTTCAAACCGAAATATATGTCAAATGTAGTAGTCTTAATTTATATTTTCCACGCCACCATACCTTACAGACTTACAGCATTTTTATTTATTACCTTGCTGTTTCAGCGACTAGACTATGGTATATAATTGAAAATTTTTACTATTAATATAGTAAGTAAAGTTAATAAAGAAAACTTTTTAGTAGTAATAGTAGTTTTAATAGTTCCATTCAAAAAAATGTGAAGCTTTAATATCCTCGAAGAATTGTGTTTAGTTGTCTTTCTTTCATCTAAAAGACATTTCGAAGATTATCAGATCTATATTTTATGAGAATATAAAATGAATGTTGTTTTATCTTATGCACTGAAAAACATGAATACAGTCTATTTGTGTATGATGCTATCAAAAACAAGGAAATTTATCAAAATTACCAATAAATGACCATCTTACCGTAATTTTACCGCAAATAATCATCACTTTGAGTCTGAACGGTAATTTTGCACTCTAAACGCAACCATGGATCTCCCATAGAACACTTTTAAAATGGCACGTATAAGTCTTTATTCTTTCGTTTTCCTTTTTTCTCCTCACATGTTCGGATTTGTGTTGACATATGTTCAACGAAACACGCCGCTCTTGGTCGGGATATTACGTTTTACAATTTAAAAACGCTTGATAAAGCGCCCGGAAATTGGTAATATAAAGCAGCGGGTGAGATATTATGTATAGAAACGGAACCGGCGATTAAATGGAAACGTTCATTTTTTTTTAATCGCGATTGCTAAGCGAGGGAGGGAAAATTCCATAGCTAGCCGCAAAGTTAAATTAATTGAAATAAATGAATTAAAATAGCCAAAATAACAAAACCGGTAGCTCGGCTCACGCCGAGCGCAAACTTGGCTCTTCGTCCTTTCGAAATTTTAATTCGAGCTTCGCTTCTGAAATCGTCGCGACCTCACGGGGAAAACCGCCGTTGTCGTAAGAATCCCGCGGAACTCGGCCATGTCAAATTACGTCGTGTAATACAGTTTCCTCTCTTATCCCGCAGAGTGCAAACCCCGCCGTCCTTCGACCCTTCGCCGATTCTCCGCGCGTTCGACATTCTGGATGGTACCACGGAGGGTGGTTACAGTTGGCAGCGGGTCCGATAACGAGAGCGCGTGCGGTTAACAAGTTGACCGCCGGAGGAGGAGAAGGAGAGAGGAGGGAGAGGATCGGAGAGGGTGAGAACGCACACAGCGTTGAATAATGTAAAATTTCATTTCAGCCTGCCTCCTCGTCGTCATCGACGGCGGCGGTGGCGGCGGCGTGCCGTTGATTCGGTATCCCCGTGAAACATTTAACGCTCGCGAAATTTCCCATGCGATTTCCCGCGCCGGATACGCGTGCGGGCCAACTGAGCTCGCTCGCTACCACGACCTCCTCGCGCGCGTTCGTCGATCGTCAGAGCCAGCCAAAACGGTGAGGGAAAGGGAGCTGGGGAACACGTTCGCTCTTTCCTCGATTCGTGCCTCGAATTTGCAACGAGGAGGAGGAGGAGGTGGTGGAGGACAGCGACGGCGTGGCGAAAGGGAGAAAAAAAATCATTCGCCCGAGGGCCGCGCCAAGGATGGATACACAGTATGCTGCGCGCTCGCCAGTCCCCATTTCTCCCTCCTAACGCGACACCCCATCGTTTTCCTCGGAGAACAAGCGAGACGACGGCGCGGAGCAGGTCGGATGAACAGAGAAGCACGGGTTATGAAAGCTGGTGGAGCAGAGAGGAAAGTGAAGGAGAGGAATGGATAGAGGGCAACCAGGGACGGGAAAGAGGGAAGGGGAGGGGGAGGGAAGTAGTAGGAGAGGGTTGAAGCGCCAGTGAGCCGCGCTACGGATTAACGAGGCGCCTCGGCGCGCACAGCAACGGCGATGCACTTGCCGGATATCCTGTGCGTCCGGACGGTTCGTGAGATATTCAACGGAGCGAATATCCGTACAGATTATACCATTCTCCTTTTTTCGTCGCGATCCTTTTCTGCTCCGCTACCACCCTCTTTCGCTTCCCTTGCCACAACAACATTCTGTGCGCGCGTGACAAATTTTGCCGTGGCCCGATATACCGACGGAGATCCGGAAGCTCACTGGTGACGCGGCTGTTTCGTCGCCGCGACGGAAACACAGCGATGAAATTCCGGAGAAATCCGCTAACAGGTTCGTTGGATGCACCTGGGCGAAGGAGTTAATTAAGGATATTGTTCGGATAAAATCTTTGCGCGAGTTGCCAGTAAGGAAGAGAATGTAAGTGAGAGAAAGAGAGAAAGAGAGAGAGAGAGAGAGAGAAGGAGGGAGGACAGAGGGAAGGAAGATTCCCCGCGAATTTAATTCGTCAGCTTGACAGAATCTGTCCGTCTCGCGCGAAGAACTTTCTTCTCTCGATCGTTGTTTTCACGACGAACGAAATGCACAGAGTTTACAAATGCAAGGGAGAAACCGACCGCACTGGAGTTCAACAAGAATAAATTGAGAAACAGACGGCGTACCTGGTGTCGTTGAAGATTTTGTCCAAGGCACGTCTCAAGGAATGTTCGTCCAGCTCATTGAACGCGATTACCTCTGCGATACCTCTGTTTTTCGCGGCGGCTGAATTGTAGAATTGATCGCCGAACATTGGTATTAGGACCATCGGCACACCCGTGTAGACACCCTCCGAGAGACCGAGAAGTCCGCCATGACCCATGTAGACCTTAACGTTCGGATGACCTGAAATGTAGTAAAATAACGATACGATGTGTAATAAAATAATAATCAATTTTAATAACGCAAATCAACAAATATACGGAGAAAATATTGTAGTAAAAATTTTGTTACAATTACATTTCTTTTTATCATGAAATATACTGAAATTATAATATGAAGGTACTATAGAAATATATATATATATATAATAAATTTTACGATCTTTCTTTCTCTCCGTCACCTGATATATACAATATAAAAATATTCAAGTAAATACAATCATTTAGTCAAACGTGCAAAAAACAAGATTTGTTAAAAAATATATATTAATTTCGTAATTTTATAATGTGTATTAATGTAATAATTCTATATAGTCCAAGATGATAAAAATTTTACTGTAATTTTTATTACAATATTTCCTTCGTCTAAAGTACCAACGATTAAATAATCAACATGTAACTGCAAGATCCGTTAAAACAATAAACGAATCTTGAAAGTAAGAAAGGCCGACAAAGGGAACGTTATCAAGAGAAAGGAAAGAGAAAAGAAAGATTTAATTGATTTGCTTTATCGCCTGAAATTAATTGAAATGCTGTTTCGCAGCGATAGCGATACTGTTGATGTTTCAGCCAGGGGTTGAGATAGGAGAAGGGTAGTGCAATAGCCTTTTCGGCGTTGCTGTAAACAACGGTTCAATTTACAAAGCTGGCGGCGAGCGCACGCTGGAAATATTCAAATCGCAATTTGCACTAAAAATGTCAGGGTCACAGAGAGCTCTGTAACGTGTTACAAATGACTCGGACCCTAAATGGAATTGCCAGGAGCATGTTATCTTCCACGCGCGACAGCCCTTAATTGATTAATTACGCATACACCCTGCGCGCTTATAACGAAGAATCTATAATTTACAATGCAATTAACAGGCAAATTACGGGCTCAACGGTAATTCGTAATTGATCGTGACGTAAATTACGAGTTTAATTCATTAGCAACCGCGTATTGCAACGATAATAGTCGCTGACTCGACACTGCTGATACGATCGAGTGCTCGATAGTGTCAAGACAGATCAAAATAATCGCTCGCGAACGATATCAAATAATTTTATTGTACTTGTGCTCCCTCTCGCACATACAGGATATCCTATTTTAATTTAAAACACACCTCAAATATCCCAAAAACAAAACATTATTAAAAACAAATATTAAAAATTGTATAGTTTCAAAAGAAAGATCCTGAAAAGACCTGTCGAGGTTAATTTTATAAATAGATATTATACTATATTTTTGTAACATAAATTTCACACACGCACAATTCCTCTAGTCATTTTGCGACAACCTGGTTCCAACCGTCATTCTAGATACAAAGAGGTATTAAGATGTGTTTATCGAAAAATTAATATTTTTTGAGATATTTTATATCTTTTTTGTATTAAAAAGTATCAGAATATAAAGAAAGTTATTTCGATCCGAATCCAAAACTCTGTGAGACCTCGAAATTCTCGAGACTCTCAAAACTTGAAACTATCCAAATCTAAAACACTAATTAAAAAAAAAGAGGGTAATTGTGTATAAGACAGGTTTCTGTATAATTACACTTTTCACTAAAAAATCAATCTTTATTCAACATTTAATTCAACTTTATTCAGCATTTATTTCAACCAATTCAATATTTAAGACAGATAAATATAATTATTTATGTTGGTGGTAAACAATTTTATCAATATTTTAATGCACAATTAACAAAAGAAATATTTTTAGTCAAGAATTAAAAACTCAACAAAATTTTCCAGAAAATCAAATTTTAAATATGTATTAAACATAATTAAAAAGAATAATTAAACATAAATAAAAAGAATAATTAAACATAAATAAGTAATAAAGATAGAATATTTATTAAATATAATTGGAATATTAAACGTAATTATATGAGAACTAATTGAAAATAATTATTTTTGAATACGAAAGAAAGTAAAACTAGATAAAGTTTTGAATTCTTTATAGTTTTTATCTATTACTATCATTGAACTAAAATTCAAATTCAAATTTCCATTAATTAAAAAAATTTAGTTACTGTCTTTGTTTAAAGACAGTAACATCTATTTTTTAATCTAGTCTAATCTAATCTAGTGCACTATCTTCTTCTGTAGCGTGCTGTTATGTAAAACTGGTATTTCTTTCTCAGGTTTCAAAAATTTCGACTCACAAAAATAGCGCAAAGTTTTGAATCTTGAAATCTTTCAGAGTTTCGTAAGGTTTCGAGTATCCCATCCCTACATATAATACTATTTATAAATTTAAAATTGACCTCTACATACCTTCCTAAAATCATTTAAACGTCAAATGAAAATTATTATCTTTTTTTGCCTCTTAGAATTATATAACTTAAATTAAAGTAAAACATCCTATGTATACATATATACACACACATATACATATATATATATACTTATATTATATACGTATTAATCATATATATATATATATATATATATATATATATATATATATATATTTGTATTTTGTACCTATATATATATGTGTGTGTGTGTGTGTTGTGTGTGTATACATGCACAAAGTGTTTTACATTAATTGCACACGTTGAATATATGTATATAAATATGTACTTGTATCTTTCCGCGCAAATATAAACACGCGGAACGTTACTACATAGTCATCATCGAACATTCGCGCCGCTTACTTCTGACAGTATTCACGATAAAAGTCTACTTCGTTCTCTTTCACTTTCTTCCTCTCTCGCGCGCGCACACGCGACGGTGGCGGGCTGTATTTTCGTATACGAGCGCACCTCTGGCGTCGATCCTAATGTCAAATTCCATTACCGCAGCATTCGCCCGGCGCAACGCGAAAGAGAAGGGTTGGATCCACGGCTCCCACGTGCACACACGTGCACACGTGCGGATATTTGCGGGCTTTACGTTACGTATACGCGCGAGCGCGAATACATCCATGCACCCTGTTCGAAGAGGTGCGCGCTCCCCTCGACAGCGAGTGCCGCATCTCGAGGTTTCGCACTCGATGCATCCTCATATCATCTCTCGGCGCACGTCGATACGTGACAGGGGATATCTATCGGCCCGGTCTCTGAATTTTCGCGAAAGATGCGCGCGAGATCCCGGGTAACGAAAAATCGACGGCAGCGGGGAAAAGGGGCCGCGGCCCTCTTTTCCTCTCGCTCGTTCTAAGATCCGTTCTGAGATTCCCACGGCGCGCCGTGGTAAATCACGCGCGGTATAAAATCCACCCTCTCGCTCCCTCGCTCCAACTCCGTTACCCATATGGTGCTGCGTCGCGTTGCACGCAAATAGATGCTATCTGCTGTCGTATGACGCGCGCTAAAAAATAACATCAAGCAGGATCGAACGCCTTTCGGTACGGGGATTTCAATCGGACACAGACACCGGAGGAACGAATGGTGGGATGCGAGATGGAATGCCGCGCGTCGAGTGTTATTTATTGCAACATCGAACGTTCGCGCGCGCGTTCGCTCCCATCAGTTCGCTATTAACAATACACCGTATAAACTGTTTTATACAATAAAAATGAGACGAGCAATCTCGGTCGGTCGCAAAACATTAGCGATAATGCAAACAGGAGCAAACAGGAGTGGTAATCTAAATTTCACAATATTCTAAATTTCACAACTGTAGATGCACAAAAGTGCATCTACAGTTATATATAGAGAAATTTCACAACTGTAGATGCACAAAAGTGCATCTACAGTTATATATAGAGAAATTTCAATTCTATTTTATATATATCACATTTAGATATATTTTTATATTTATATTTTTATAAATATATATTTATATATTTATATATTTATATATATATTTATATATATTTATATATATATATATATTAAATATATATTTATATATTTATATATTTATATATTTATATATTTATATATTTATCTCTTTTATATATTTTATATATATATATTTACAGATATAGATATATTTTTATGATTATATATAAATTATTTATTTTGTATATATTTTATTTTTCTTTTACGTGGCAAATAGACTTCTACTCTTGATATATTTCGTAAAAAAATGTGTTAAGAGTTACTGAGTCGACTGACTGAGTCGAAAGGAGGAATTTACAGCTTTCCACACGTGCAAATATAACATGTAATATGATATAATATCTCTATGATATAAATTTGGTCGAAAATATTCGAGCAGAAAGACTTGAAGAAACAGAAACGTATGAAATTCTATATGATACATTTAGCGCAGCAATTAATCGTTATATTAATGTATCTTAATTTAATAATCTTACCCTGAAACTTCATAATATTCTTATGAGATAACTGCTGTACATATTTATAAAGAAAAGTTACAAACTCTTATTGCGATCGATATTGCAATTAAGGCACAAGTAAAAAAACAGTATCCCTCATCCGATAATTTTGCAGCTTCTTCGATATAATGCGCATAAGTTTAGCGTTGCATAAAAGATTGAAAAAAGAAATTGCGAGCACCATCTCGGAGGGATCGCGGAAAAAGGAGGAGAGAAAAGAGCGCGTAAGTGCGGAAGTAGCTTCGAGGAGGTAGAAGGGAGCAAAAGGAAGAGTACCGGATGGAAAGAGAGGAGATCAAGGTACAGCAGTCACGAAGTGAGATAATAAAATTAAAGCGATCGATCGCAGCTTCTGACCGGCTTAAGATATAGCTTCAGTGGGCTTATCCAAAAATACAGAGACGCTCATCCACAAATGCAGACAAGCACACACTTAAATAGACTTAAATAGTTGATCATTACTTTACTATTATTATGTTATTATTATATTATTATCACGATATCATTATATTCTCATTCACGTTCAAGCAAACTATATGATATAACAAAAATACCCGACAAAGCAGTCATTATTTCCGTTACTTTTCTTACCAAAAAAGTCACAACTAGAATCATATTTCGGCAGTTTTGAACAGAATGAAAAATAATACTGGTACAACGCACCAGCGTGTTACATAAGATAGTATTTAAAATAATAT